TGTTATAAATCAAGCAGGTAATCATGGGTCACACTTCACATGAACTAATTGGGTTTAGCAGAAGTTTGGAACACACTCCTGCTTTAATAGATGACCCCAAAGTTAACTCAACCTTAAAAACAACACAAATATGTTCAGGGTCAGTTGGTATTTATAGGCCAAGAATAAAGTATATTTATTTTAAGGCATGCATAGTACAAGGCTCTTTACTCTATAAAGTAAGGTAGCTCATAGAAATGTGTGTGGCCTGGGTACTTCAGGCAGACAACTGTCAAGGTATATTAACAGCTAAATTAAAATGGACTTTGGACAATATGTATCTTTACAGCAGTAATCAGACTGAATCTTTGCATTACATGGTAGAGACATTGGTAATCAAGAACACAATTTTATAAATAGTATAATCAGTCTCTAATTACCAAGAACAATATGTAGCACTTAGTAGGTGCTCGGTAAATATTTGCTAAAGATTAATATGGTTTCAGTTTCATAATTTGGACTTTAAAAAGATAGATCCCACTCCATTCAAAGTCTTTCGCTTCTGTACATCACGCCTTTTCTATAGTTAACTTATAACAAAAGTACTTTTAGACCATAACTTGACCAAAAATAAACATTACTGGAGTAATCATTCAATCTGTATGAGATATTGTTGGTTCCCCCAATGGCTAAATGGTAATCATTCTGTGGAATTTAGGTCTGCAGACTCTGCTCACAATGGGAATGAATGTGTTCATAACAATAATAAGGGCTTGTTTTAATAGAACGTTCCACGCATTAAACACATTAATGACCCATGAAATAACGGTTTTATCTGTAACACATTAAGCAACATTGCTAAAACAATGTATTAATTGAAAGTATGCTATTTCTCTTAATGTAAGATTTTTTAAAGTATAAAAATGGCATGTAAGTCATCTTGTGAAAACAAAAAGAATTCAACTTTAAAATTAGATCCTTACCCAATGATTGCATGAAAAGTAAAACCTTCAAAATTAAGCCTGGTAATTTTAGATGTATTATTTTGATACGTCCCCATTGTTCTGGTCAAAAATTTTATCTGTCTAGGTTATGACTTAAGAGTCTTACGAATATTTTAAAAGCTCATCATTTTCTTCTCTGCATGTTTATCTTCTATAGGACTTTTTAAAATCTCTTTTTCTCTTTCCTCAACAGATACAGAGACTACCATACTCAAACTACCTCACTTCCATCTTTTTTCAATTTTCTAATACTATGCTTGATATTACTAGAGCACCAGTGTAGCATTTTCTGTAAGTATGTGCTATCACAATTAAATCCAAAGCAATATCAAACAGAAAATGTCAGTCCTCTAAACATGAAATACAATGTATGAAGAAAAAGTATGTGAATCATCAGTGTGTTTTATAAATTCTCTTTTGGGGGGCATACAAAATATCAGACTAGAGACAATTATTTTACTGTCTGTTTCTTGGATATCAAAGAGAATTTTGAAATTCATCAAAGCTAACCTTCTGTTATGTACAACAGGCTAAGCTGAAAAGAATGTTAACAAGTTCAATTTTCATTCAATCAGCACTACTGCTCTCTGAAATGTTTCATTGCAGGAAAGAAATAAAAATAATCTATATGGTAATTATGAGGATGAATCCCCCAGTAACTTTCAGCTACATGAAAGGTCAGTTCTATTCAAGATATTTTATCAGTCCCCTGCACATACTCCTGTCCTGTCATTTTAAATCTGAACAGCATTTTATTTTCCCATTTACAGCTACCTGCAGAATTAAGTACTTAAGCCAAATAAGAAAAAAAAAAGAAATGTTGAATGCTGGCAAAGGCTATAATAGCATAGAGATAAATCGTTCAGCTGCTCTCTCTCAAGCCTCTAGGGCTGCAGATTTTTCTTCTCCTGGTGCACTGTGGGTATTCAAAACTTGTTCAACATGATTTCATTTCATTTCAGGCACTGCCTGAGAAAACTAAATTACAGAATCAATCATACAGAAGGTCAGAGTGAGACTTCATTACAAGTATTGCATGCTTGCATGAATATCTTTCATTTATGACTGACCCAATATGTCACAATAGCTGTCTAGTAAAAATAATCCACTTTCTGAAATTGATGTACTACTGATGTCAATGCTACTCAGCAGGCTGGGCAGATTATAGAGAGGTGTTAAAAAAAAAAACACCCTTTGGAGTGCATGTTGTAGATTTTTAGAATTAACCATAAAGTAATTTCCAGATGATCATCTGAACTGACAATAATGATTAGAGGTAAAGAATTTTTTAACCAAAATATACTGGTGATTTTGCTTTGCCAACCACATTCTGTTTTAAAATATACATAATCTACAAGAGGCAAATCAAGGTTGTGCTTGGAAGTCACAAATGCATCGACATTCAATTTTTCAACAATTCGCTTTTGACTACTACAGCATTATTTGCATATTTTGAAACATGAATGCTAATCATTGGACTCTTTTTAATGCCCCCCTTTGTTCCTGCTTTCTGTTTTTAAATATAATGGCATAAATGTAAGGAAGATAAACATGTTGTGCTTGTTGCCAACCGAAATGTGGCTAATCAGTAAAGTGACAAACTGTCAGTCTTTCTAAAGGAAAACCAGTGGAGCTCTGAAAAGCTGGTTCAATACAACATAAACAAGCTGGCTTTTCTTCTTAGATGATAGCCTTAATTCACCATAGCAAACCCTAACAGACAGCCATATTCATTTGGATAATAAAACTTCTTACTTGCATAAGATATGAAATACCCAATGCACACTAGGAGGCCGAATGCATGATGTATAAGTATTATTTATGATTTTTCTGGTGACCTTCCTAAGGGAAATCTCCGAGAAGCTGCTGTGGAGCATTATGATGTAGCCAGCCAACTTGGTACCCGAAGGGAGAAATAGAAGAACCTTGACATAGCCTATTTTTAACCATGCCTCTGGCGATTCTGAATTCAAGTTTATAGGTGAACATGTCAGGTACTACATAGAACAAAGCCAACGACACACTGTATTCATCATAATTCTGTCCTAGTACATTTTATTTGTTCCAACATTTGTGATTTAAAATCCCACGACATTTCTTCAAGGTGAAATTCTACTAGAACTTTCAACAAGATTAGTTTGTTTCAAGCCAAAATAAATATACCATTCAGATTCAGCAAAACTTCAGAAAGGCACCGATAAATGTGATGAGGTCCATGTAAATACCATGACAACAGCCTGCACTTAGCTGAAGTACTTATACTTTTAAAAATCAATGAAATAATTCAGCTGCTTTAGTGATTAGCAATCCATTACAAAAGAAGCATTAAAAATTGAGTCCTCTCTCCCAAGGCCAGTCCGTGAAAGCATTGTTCTTTAAGTGTATGTGAATATCATAATTATTTTATGATTCCATCTTTAGTTCTTTCCAATATAGTAAATTCAATTGACCATGAAATGAAATTTCATAGTCAAAATGCCTCCTTTACACTTTTTTATAGCAGCAATAACAGTTTTATAGCTTTAAGGCAAGGTAATTCATCAGATGTTTAATTTAAAGGCAGATTCTTATATTATTAATAAATATTTACCAATTTAATAAAGTACACATTTTAGCATGCATTATATGGTCTTTTAACTATTTCCGCAACTTAAATGAGCCTCGTGGAGCATCTGTGAATAATGGTAAACCCTGGCCAACTCCCTTGGTGACTAAACACCCTTTTTATTTTTATTATTTTCCAGGCACAACATTGCAAGTCTGACTGTAGAAGAACAGAGGACAGAGCCCTCCATTCTAGTGTCAAAAGGACAAAATGTAAGAAAGTCCACAGGAAATAATTACTTGTGATGGCAAGAAACGTTTATGAATACTTAATGACCATTTCCCGACTGTTCACTGCATCCTTTTCTGACAAAAAAGTAAAAATAAAAACTCTGATGTTCAGCTCAAACACAAAAGATCACAAGCAAAGAAAATTATGTTGCCGCAATCCTTTTTGGGAAAGTAATCTTATATTTCAGAGAGCACACTGAATCTTTGCACCACTAATCCACTACATATTTTGCAGTCATCTGCTGTTATCTGGGGAATTAACAATGAAACCAATAAACATCACTGGCATGGTCCTAATGTGCAGAGAAATATGTAAACAAGCAATAGGATTTGTTTTTTGTTATACTGACACATCTGTTTCATTTTATCAGGGTTAAGAAAAAGCCCTCTAAACTATTAATCTTGTTTTAAAATGTCCGCTTAGTACCTCACCTAGATAGACACAAATGCATTATACTCTATGGTAGAAAAAAAACAATCCCAGCAGAAGAGTTTAAAATACTTATGCAGATTTACTCTGGTGATTGCTGACTCTAATTGCACACTAAGAAAAATAGAACTAAAATTATTGCGTTAGTAATCTTGACTCTCTGGAGTGCCTTATTCAATGTTTACAACAATAAATAACACAATTTGGTATATTTCACACAATAACCCACTCTATATTTTCCTCTGCTGGTTACAAGCAATTATTCTTTTTCCCTTGTCTGTATCACAGTTTGATATTTTATTTAATGTAGGAGCAAATCTTGTATCATGAACGTTATGTTATAATCCAACAAATACAAAAGACCTAGGCCCCTGATAAGGGCTTCCATTTCTAAGATCTCTCTCGGGCAGACTTTCAACTTAGGTACACCTCTGTGTTAAACCACAGGCAAGAGAACATTGGCTGCTTCTCTCAAGGAATCAGCCTTCTTAAAAATCCTTTCAAATCGGAAGGATCTTAGTGGGTCATCCTCGTTCACGTGACTGTCGACCAACCCAATAATACCCTCTTGTCGGATAACCAGGGCTTGATCTAGGACCTGCATTTAAATGGCCCTGGGACGGACAATCCACATGTCCACGCGTGGATAGGCAGGGGCATGTTTCAGTACATGGAGTCTCACATCTTTACCATGAGAAGCGCAAATAATTAAAAAAAAAAAAACATTTTCAATCAATAAATGTGGAGCCTACCATATGCAACCCACTGCTATGGAGCACCCCATCTTGTTCCACGAGATTTCTTGAGATGGTAATCGAAGGAAGATCCAAACTTTGAGGGGGAAACTGGGGTGTGAATTCACTTCCCTGGGAAGGCAAAGGATCGCTGAGGCCTTGAAAAGGTAGAACATCAGGCATGCTCAGGGCGGGGTCTGACTCCGGAGGAGGCGTGATAGGGGGGATTTCAAACTCCTCATCCCCCAGGCTTGGCGTATGGAATGTCTGCTGAAAAGAAATAAAACAGAGATTTCTTCACATTCTGTTCATGTATCTTATTTCCCCTCGGAGGGAAAGTGAAAGATTCTTCATGAAACCACTACATAGTTAGGCCAAATATTTATTTCTCAAATGAAAACATCTTAAACACAGATTTCCGTACATAAAGTTTTGCTGATCATTCTGATTAAAGATTTCAGTCTCATTATCATATGGTTTTAATGGAGTATCAGTATTAACAGTTTTTTAATGCGTACTTAATTAGCAACATCTGTCTTTGTTGTTAGAGCATCAGCGACATTAGATTTGGCTATATAACAAATTGCCACTTTATTGATATGTTAGTGAAACAGCTCAGACCGCTTACATTATCCACATGCTTCATAAATGCTGATGATTTTGTGGCGCACACACACAACATTAATCCAGAAGTGAACATGACACATATTTACTTTCTGCCACAACATCTAAAACAAGTAATATTAAATTTGTGGTTTGCTTTTTTAATTTCCTTATTGGTATTTTCCCAAGTGCAATGAAAGCTTCTATGGAAACTGTTACTGTTTGTAATATATTTTATATAAGGATCATCAGAGCATATATTAAAAGGTCCTGATGCTTTTATTTAACTAAAAAGAGAGATATTTTCTTTATATGTAGATTTCAATATGTATTTATCAGAACATTTTTAGCAGTCTTCAACTTTTAAAGACCATCTATAGAACAAGCATAGAAAGAGACTGATACAGACATACTAGCTCCCTGATATTGCTCAGTTAGACAAGTGTTCTTTCTCAAGACCTAAGTCAATAATTCACAGCTTCCTTCACCGCTACTTAGATTCTCAGATAGTGTTTTAAAATAGCGCTTTTTGATGTAAATCAGGGCTGCCTTGCTCAACTACACTAACCATCTTTCTTAAAATAGAACTTGGATTTTATGGGGCTGGGTGGTCAAAGTCTAGGATATTATTTTTGGTAAGATGAAGGGGTTAGGGGACCGTTCATATTTTTTATTCCTAGCATAAAGGGTCAAGGTTATTGTTGACTTACTAGTAATAGTATTTTTTGAAGAATGAACTGGTGTTAAGATCATTTAAATCTGCTATACTTGGTTAAGAGAACTAATTAAGAGCTGAAAATCACCCTTCTTCAAACTATCGATGATGATGTAACTTAATAACCACTTGAGAGAAAACAGAAACAAACTCAAGAAAAAAAGAGCCATTTCTTGCCTATAGGACCTGTCAGCTGTTATCTCACAAAAAATAAAGAAGTCACAAATTATAGGAGTCCATGGCAGGACAATTGAACATTTTCAGGTTCTTAAATTCGGTATGTGCAAAACATTAGAGCGTAATAACACATCTGAAAGCTGGAATGCAATAATTAAATTTTCTGACATATTCATTCTAATAACAACCCCCAAAAGATGTCAGTTTCTGACTGTGGTACCCCGAGTTCTCAAACACAAAGGGATGAATTGGCCACAAAAATGTGGTTGGCTAATGAACGTAACCCTATGGCTGCATTTGCCGTTATTTTGGCACTAATGTGGTCTAGTAACAGATGCAACTGTAATTTGTGACTCATTTGCTACCCCATTACTGCTTAATGAAATCTAACATATCACATTAACAATACGGATAAACACTCATTCTTGATATGTGGCATTTGGCTGTTTTCATTACCACTGTAATTAACACTTGAAATATTATTTCAATAAATATTTAAAGTACTTTAAAAATGGTCAGGGTAATCATGACACAGACAGAAAACATAAAGCAAATGTGTGAATTTCAAACTCAGAGTATCCCAGTCCCTGTTGTGTTATCTACAGGGCAATATCTATGTGAGGGGAATTGGTTTCGGGCATAATTTCGACTTTATAGCATTCAAACCTAAAGTCTTCTTGAATTAGTTTGCACTCATTAAAATGTTAAAGTAACAAATAAATTTACTTTTAATGCAGTGATGGGAAATTAGGCACATGCTATAATGTAGTAGATTAACATTTACTTGGGCTTTACTTTTTGTTCAAGAAAAGATATACAGTGAAATCGTTGCTTAAGATTACTTCTTAAACTCTAACATAAAGCATGTCTTTTGCTAGGCAGTCAAAATTAAGGAGGTTTTCATTTTTATTTTTTAAAGAATGGAGAGAGATGTCTTATGCATAATACGTCCCTGTGGTATAATTTTTTAAAAGACAAATTAATTTAATGTTAGAAATTAGTATATTACTGTACCAAATGTAATAAAACAATACAATAAAGGTATATTATAAAATATGACCAAGAAAATGCTAATATCCTCAACCACTTTTAAAGAGGTAATATATTAAATATAAAAAAAATTAAGCATTCCTTAGAGAAAAGAGTAACCCAAAACACGGGATGTCTGAGATTATAAAAATAACCACGTATGGCATCAACAAAAAAGACATTGGCTTTTGCAACTACACCATATGACCAATATTAGATTCATCATTTAGAGTTTGTATGATTACTTTTTACAGATATTGACTTTTCAGTGTTTACCTTGAACATGTTAAAGTAGTATGTACATGGTTAAATACCATCTGTACTGAAATGTTCAAAACATTTGTTCCTTTTGATAAAAATGCAAATCTGGAGAACTGTTGTATCAACATATAACAGCCAATGTCTGACACGGTGAATTATCACAGCTGGAATTAAATTGTCTCTGAACAGCTGCTGGCAGTAGAGCTTTCATCAATGTTTGATTCAAATGTAGGGAAAAAATCCTACAGAATGAAACATCATGTTGTCCTTACAGATGGGGTTTGTGTTCATTATCACAAACAACACAGCAGCCAGTGCCAAACAATATTCCCTTATCTAGGCTGTCTTCTTGGTTAGAGAGATGCTGGTCACGATAAAAATGATTAATCTACGAACGCCCTTAATTCTTGATTTGCCATTTTTTTTCTAATAATTTCTCAAAGTTAATTTCTCTCATGCCACTTGCTTCCCTGTAACCAAGATCATTTACAAAGCCATTATGACTCTCATTCTCTGGGGTCAAGCTACTTCAGTTCCCTATATTTGACTGTATTTGGAAAATGAAGACTTCTTATTACAGGAACCACAAGAGGCAACATCCCATTTGGAACAATTTCACTTCTGTTTGTTCTTGTTTTAAAATCTTTAATCTCACACAGCTTACCATTTTTAGGAAACCATTTTCTCGATCTAATCAAGATCAAGTTGTATCTGGAGGGTAGGCTGATGAGACCTCCTACAACAGCCCTACGTCAGTACATAGGGAATGCAGTGAAAACTGCAACAAGGTGTTTGTTTCATTTGTCCTGATCAACTATAGACCAACCCAGAGCCCACGTGGTGCTGCCTTTGGAGTCCATCACCCAGGTTTCCTAGCTATGACCATGTCTTGGAGCATGCCCATTCATTCATTCATTCAATAAATATCTGGGGACTTACTTTGTGCCAGGCACTGGACTAGGCTATGGACACCAAACAAAAACCAGAACATCCATTTCACATTCCTCCCACCGAAGACCCAAGAAACTCTAATACTGTTCTGCCACGTTTTTTTCCAAACCAGAGTAACTACATGAAATTATCTCCAGAGCAATGTAAAATTAAAATATTTTCTATTAAAAGTCACTCCCATCCTAGTTACCAAAATAACCATTTATCTGCTTAGATACCAATTTGGATATATAGATTTGATATGCTTTCTTATATATTTACTTTTGTTTGCATATATACTTCTTCTCATTAAGAAAATTACTTGATGTGTGTGAATTACTAACGTTCATAACAGCCTATGGACAGTGATAAAGACTTGTCAGGTTATTTTCTTTTCCAACAGATTTTTCTCGTTTCTCCTCCAAAACCATTACCTTGTGCCACATAAGAGAGAGATAAATTCAGTACTTTGCTTTTCCCTTCAAGCCTTTTAAATGACATAATAACACACAGAACATGAACAGACACATTAAGACAGACACCTACCTCACTGGCTGCAAAGAAAGGATTGTTTGCCTCAGCCATATTCATGTAGTTACTGTTATTTCCAAACTGAAAGAAAACAGATTGTTTTATGTTAATGTGAAGCATAATAAAGAATTTTGGTGATTTACTTAATACTCAGATAGGATTTGGAAAGAATGCCGCCGTTATGAGATAAAAGGGGTTTTACTCAGACTGAATGTGGACTGTGACAGAGGTTGCAGAGCACCATGCTGGACACTGTCGGCTGGGCCCCTCAGAAACTAAAGCACACAGTTAAGCTACCTTGATCATTCCAGAAAATCGTGTTGTTTCCCATCAAGACTAATAGTAAAGGGAGACAACTGTAAACATTTGGCCAACTGGTCACTAGCGGGTGTTATATATTGAACTGGCATTTGTCAGAGGCTAGAAAGAAAAGAGTTTCCAAGAAAACCACCTTGACATATTTTTAAAATATGTTGGGATTTCATAGCTTGCTTTTCAAGAACAGATGTCAGAAGTGTGAGTAGGTTAAAATGTGAATTAAAGGGAATAAAATTCAATTCCCAGAATTCAAATTCTATTTTCTACTGAATGGGGTGTGGCATGAATATAAATAAATAAGCCTGAAGAATATTTTTTAAATCTCCAAACAGAGTTTAAAACAGTATCTATATCCATCAGAGCTGTTGAAAACAGTGAAACTTAATCTCTCAGTGTAACATTAAGTGCAAAGAGGTTTAAAAAATAAGCGGGATCCTATGAACACAGCAATTTTTATTTAATTCCCTAACACAAAAGCCCATTCATTCCATCACAAATAAGACTGTATCAGCATTTCAGACATAAGCTCTTTACTTGGAGAGACCTGTTATCAAAATGTAAAACTTGGATTTTGGCAGAGATGTTTTTTCAGGTTCAGATGGTATAAGCAGCCACATTTTGTTGCTTTAAACATTCTGTTATCAGTGTGGTAATATGGAAAGGCTCTGTAAGCCTAATTATCTGAAGCTATATTATTTTCACGATTTTTAAATGGTAAAAGAATGCCCCTCTTTTTATAAAGTGTATTATTTCCTTCCTTCAATGCATCAAATAACAGGATTGGTCTCTGGAGGGTGAAATGCATATATCTATTCTCTAACATAAAAAGGGCTAGTAATCATTTAAAGTAAAAGGTCCGTATTTCCCAAGGAAAGGCAGAGAGAGAGAAAAGAGAGGGAGGGGCAGAGAGAAGTAAAGAGAATACACAGAGATATAGACACATAGACACGGCAGGCTCACATAATCCTCCTCTCAGTAAACCCACAAACACTTATTTCTGTGGGGGCTCTCAGCACCTGCCTCTGAACCTGTAGGATTCTTGCATGGAAGCGGGATTGCCAGGCCACACTGTATCATCTCAGGGATCCAAGAACTACGCGGGATTTACTCGGAAGGCTCTAATGGTTGCAGAGTGCTGTTAGAGTCTCCAGAAGGAAAATCCCGCCCAGCAAAACAACACCTAAATAAATACGCATACAACGAGCCCTCAGACTATCTTTATAAGGATTTCTGAAAGATGTATTGTTAGTGCTTTATCTGGTTTCTCTGAAGGCATGTGATATCAAACTACGTGGTAATGGTTTCACAAATATGTACGTATCTCTGAACTCATCAAGTCACATACATTAAATATGTGCAATTTTTGGTATGTCCATCACACCTGAATAAGTGGTTTAAAAATAATTTAAAAATGAAGAAAACACACATAAGCAGGTGTGCATGCACACACACACAAATGCAGAAAATTTTTTTTCCTTCGATATTAAATACATGCAAGAAAAAGTACAGATTTCTGTCTTGGAATTTTGATGAATTAATGATCCTAGAATTAAAATCTCAGCCTCCACTCCCAATGTTCTTTCAGATATTTATGAGAATGTGGGTCACACACGTATCCGGTGCACCAGTCCTGTCTCCCCAAACCACCCGACAGCGCTGCATCCCAACTTTAACGTTATTTAAATGTAGGTTTGGTTGGGAAATTAGAAATCCATTTAAGGAAAACAGCTCATTATCGGAGAGTATTTTTTTAAGATTAAACTCACTTATTATCTAATAGCACCTAAAACAACAAAGAAAAATAAAATGGCTATTAAACTAAGGGCCTAAACAATTCAAAAAACAAATTAAGCTTGGAGTGAAATAAGAAGTGGGTTAGAAATCCTCTTCTGAACAGTTAGTATGCGAATGTAATTACTGAAGAAACTACAGCTAATCAGCTGTGAATTGTATCCATTAATTAGTATTTGCCCTGGAGAAATGAGAAAAATCAGTAACAACGCGGGCTCCTCCATGCGCGATGAGCCACGTGCAGGCTGCGCTGTGTCTAGTCAAGCAGGTGGCTCCAGTGGTCCACGTAATTTGAAAAGCTCTCACCTGAAGTACTGAGCTGGAATTACAACGCGCTCCTTGCATATCTTTTGTATCTATATAAGGCCTTAATTAATGGCTTTTAATTTGGGAACACTTGGCAATCAGGCGGGAACTGTTATAAATCATTTCCAATAGAAGCAAAGGTTTCTATTCAGTTTGGAGTAAAATGCCTCCTCTACAAAGATGGCCTCAACTGTTGATCTGTGCAGGTAATTGTCTTACTCGTGTGCAGGTGGCTGGGCCCCACATTTTGTGTAGTTAGCCTAGTTAGATAAAATAAAGAATGCCCAGTTAAATGTGACTTCAAACAATTTTTTTTAGTGTGTGTACCATGCACTATGAGACATACTTATATACAAATAAAACTATTCTTTATCTGTGACTCCCATTTAATTAAGCATTGTATATTTTTACAGGCTAAATCTGGTCCACCTCCAGTGCTGGTTAAACTGACCAGGATAAAGGGGATTTCACTTGCCATGTGGATTACCTTCTCTAGTAATGCTAGCTTCATTTTATTTCTTTTACTTTCAAATGTGACCTATGAATCCTGCTTTACTTTGTGTAAGGTCAGATCTGATTCTGAGAGAAAAAGTGATCCTCTGAGGCAGATCTCTAATATAATGCCTTCAGAACAATCACCTTTAACTGAATTGTGTACAATTAAATTTGCTTTATGTTTTAAAAGACAGTGACATTAGTAAACACAAAGTACTACAAAAAACCCTAGGCCCACAGGGAAGGTCTTTACTTAGCTCACCACTGTGTCCCCTGCAACTAACAATGCCTGCTGTATGAGAAGCACTCCAGTTTTAGTTGAAGGGAGGGAGGGAGAAAGGTTGATCATCCGTCCTAACTGGCGCGATTTTATCACTTACCTTTTTATGGTGATAATGATAATAGTAATGTTCTTACCTAACGAAGTGCTTTACATACATTATTTCATTTAACTTTTCAAAGTGGGACTAAGTGTAATTCATTTTCCCAATAACAAATTAGGCAAACACAATTATCACCCTTTATAGGTTTCTAGGGGTCAACTTGCCCAAAATCATAGGCACAAATAAGGAAGCCTGGCATCTCTTCTGCTTTATAATCTGTATCACATTCTGATATCAAGAAAAACTTGGATATTTCACTCAGTGCTCAATTCAGTTTTAAAACTTTATTTTCACCTGTCTTATCCAAAGCCAGAATTTCCCAGAGGGTTTTTCAAGGAAACTAAGTGTAGTAAAAATGCTCTTCAAGGAAAAGGTTCAGCAGTCCAGTAAGTTTAGGAAAGACTGTAGACCACTGCTCTCTCTCTTTGACAAGTCACAAGGGCCACTACGAAGTCAAAGGCTCTGAGAAGTCCTGCAGTTCATACAGTTAGCAAATGTTTATGCGCTTACTATATGCAAGGTACTGTGCTATGCACCAGAGACAAAATGATGAAGAAGGTGACAAGGACCCTACTTGGACAGAGATTACATTTTTCTTTAAGTGGGAGACAGTAAACACCACCACCTCCACCACCACCTCAAATTTGCTATGGAACTCCTGCTTCAGTTTCCCCCCCCAACACCCTGAACACACTTTGGGAAACCTTGCTACAAACCCTTTATTGACAATATTCTTTTATTTTCCCTGAATCTTTTTTTATAAGAAAACTAATGTCCTACTTTGCTCCATGGTAAAGTTTATGCATTTTGCCAGTCACCTAAACAAGAATTTTTCTATTATACATTCTAAGTTGCCTTAATTTGGTGTATTTCCAAACTTGGTAGATGGTAACTTCCTACTGATGTTCCCTCAAAGATCCCACACTCAACCATATAAGGTTCCTTGCGATTTCAAGAGTCAAAACATTGCAAATAAACTAAAGGAGTATCAGATGAAGCAGAATTAACTACTCTGAAGCACGTAAAAATATTATGAAAGAAACAAGAAATTCCAACTGCTTTAAAGAGCTTATATATGGGGAAATGGTCTCTGCAAGGCAGGGCCATTGATGAGGTGCACTGCTGACGATCGGTCCTTTCCACATTGATAGGCTCTAGTAGATGTGACCCCCAAAGACATAATCCCAAAAGATATAATTATAAAGCAGAACTAAATTACTTTGCATGTCGAACTTCTGTATCTTAATAATTCCACAAAAGAACATCTTCATTGTACTAGGAGGTAGATTTGCTTTTGCTGTTTGATGAGTAATTATAGATTCAGCAAATACAATTTATGAAGGGCATCAATTAAAAAGGAGTAATGCAGGATGTAAAAAAATATATATTAAAGACCATCGTGTTCATGGCCTGTCTAACCATGTGAAGTGCCAGAGTAAATTAATGGAGATGGCTAAGTCTAGCTCGTCAAGCAAAATGCTTGGAAGAAAGTGGAGCAGGCACAGACAGAAACCCATCTGTAATCACAAGACGAATACTTCAGCTTGATGAGGCCACACAACATCATCACAACATCATTTTCACTGAAATTATTTTGACACCCATGTGAAGAATTGCATAGGCTTCTAGTAAAGCAATATTAACTACAGGGTTATCAAACAGCTAAATGGCACAAATTTAATCCTTAAAAAGAAAGGTAATCCTTTGAATTCTCTTTCTTTTTTCTCATTAGGTTTGTTAGCAGACACCATCCAATTTGATGCCTCGGTAAGGACATCTGTCAGGTTG